CTATTGCTCGGGCTGAAAAACTATTCGTTCTCTGCTAATTCTTCGCACATAATATTTGGTCAGGAAGCTCTACGAGTCCCCCGGCGGTAAGAAAGGTTGACGGTTTACCGCCGGCGCCCAGTCTTGAACCATCTTGGAGGGCATCTTGGCCTTCCCGAGGTCCTGTACATGCATCTCTTTCGTGAGGATACTAACTCGTAGAGCTTCCCTTAGCTAGTTGCTGGAGGCTCAAGAGTAATTCCGGGGCGCTGGAGAGCTAGTTGGCGAGAAAAATCTCGACGGACTCTTTTCTGACTTTTGGTCGGTTGAACATTTTGTTATCGAAATTCAATCATTCGTTTGAGCTCTAGTATTTTTTCCCGTGATATTCGATCTTATTCCCGCTCGCCGTCTTAATCTCATGTCGATCGGGTAGATATTATTGCCAAAAAGCACTGCGGCGGGATCGGCCGTTTCGGGTCATCTTGACACGCAGTGGCGGTTTTCTGAACATAACTCGAGCTATAGGAGAGCTACAGAGCTGATATTAACAGAAACCCTCTTAGAATGATCAGGCGCGTTCGTCCGTTGCATCCAGAGGTCTGAACTCGGTCTGCTACCCGAGCTAGGTCCGCGAAGCTATTCGTATTATTCGAGTCATCTTGACAGGTGCTGTCGGTTTTCTGTACTTAACTCGAGCTGTAGGGCAGCTACAGAGCTGATGGTAACAGAAACCTATCCATAATCATCAGGCACGTTCATCTGTTGCATCTAGAGGTCTGAACTCGGTCTGCTACTCGAGCTATGTCCACGAACCTATTCGTATTATTCGAGTCATCTTGACAGGTGCTGTCGGTTTTCTGGACTTAACTCGAGCTGTAGGAGAGCTACAGAACCGATACTTACAGAAGCCCATTCGAAATCACCAGGCGCGTTCATCTGTTGCATCTAGAGGTTTGAACTCGGTCTGCTACTCGAGCTATGTCCGTGAACCTATTCGTATTATTCGAGTCATCTTGGGAGATGCTGTCGGTTTTCTGTACTTAATTCGCAATGTGGGAAGGCCACAGAGCCGTACGCACATCAATCGATTCCGCATCATCAGGCGCGTGCGTCTGTTGCATCAATAGCTCCGAAATAAGTGTATTCGAGTCTTCCATCAGCGAAGGCCGAAAAAGTATTCGTTCTCTGCCAATTCTTTGGACACAGTATATGGTAAGGAAGCTCTACGAGTCCCCCGGCGGTAAGAAAGGTTGACGGTTGACCGCTGGCGCCCAGTGAACGTGCGGATAGATTGTCGTAGGAGGCCAGAGGTGGCCATACAATTTCTCGATGGTTTGTGTATGACCAGTTTCTCAGTACTCGTGAGACTGCTCTCCGTGGTGAATTCGATGGAGGTGTCAGTCGTGAAGGATGCGGAGGCGGGTGGTGGCTTCAGATTGGTATAGTAGGTAGTGGTTCCAGCATGCAGGTCGATTCCCGCCCGCCCCCCTCCTCCTCCTCCTCCTACTCCTCATCTTCTTTCTGTGCCTCGTAGAGCTCTTCGTTATCGATGAGCTAGAGGAATTCCGGCGCGGGGTGGAGCTAGTGACTCGTGGAGCTCTTCGGCAAGATGAGCTACGAGGAATTCGGGGGGGTGGAGCTCGTTGGTTGACCTGACCTTAAGAGACAATGTGATGACTTGGGGTCGGTTTTCCGAAGATTTAAATATATACCTCGTAGAGCTCTTCGTCATTGATGAGCTAGAGGAATTCCGGCGCGGGGGGGAGCTAGTTGGCCCACCGGGCTCGGGCGGACAAAGTGATAACTTTTGGTCTGCTTTGCTAAGATTCGAAAGATATTTGACCATTCATTTTGAGAGAGCAGATTTTTACGCCGAGCATTGGCATATAAACTTTGCTCCCAGAGCAGCTCAGCTCTCCCGAGGGAGTTTACTATGGGTTTACTTCCAGGAACCGAACTCGTAGTAACAACGAGAAAATGCAAAAAAAAGTTTGGTTTGAAAATTGTCTCGAAAGTTCTATACTCCCATTCGCAGCTCTCTAGTGCATGCCAGGAGCTCTACGAGGTTCCCGGCGGGGACCAGGTTGACGGTTTACCGCCGGCGCCAGTTTGACCATTCATTTCGAGAAACCAGATTTTTCCCACGTGTAGTGGGTTATTCCCGGAGAGCTCTCTGAGAGCTAGAGGGTTTTAGATTAGAAGCCGGACGGTTGTGGTGCCCGCCAGCAGCCCATCTCCGCCGCTCTACGATCCTCGCAGCAGTTCGCCCGTGCCGGCAGCTGGTCCATGAGCGCTTCCGGCGCGCGTCCACGCGTGCCTGCGCGCGCGCAGGCACGCGTGGAGGCGTTCCTGGCAGCGCTTCAGAAGCGCTGCAGGGCAGCCTCCGGAGCTGTGAAGGGCAATTACTCCAGAGCATGCAGCAACGTAGGGAAGCTTTCCAGCGGCTCCAGAGCTCCGACTCGCGAGACACCATTTTCGAGTTTTTAATTCATATCAAGAACGTTTTCGTTTGTTAGGAACTGACTTGGTCTCTCTTCAGCTCTACAAGGGTGCTGGCGATAAGCTGGTTGACTGTTTACCGCCGGCTCCCAGTTGGCCAACCCGGCCTGGGCGGACTATGTGGAGACCTGGGGTTGTTTTTTCGAAGATTGCGAGAGATTTTGAAATTCGTTTTGCGAAGTTGAATTCTTATCCTGTGCAGTCAATCATGGCGCTTTCGATGGTGCAACCCTCGGGGCTCTAGCTGCATTATCTCGATCAAAAGAGTAGGAGGAACCAACATTGTTTAAGACCGAAAACCACATTTCTTTTTCAAGCTTGTATTGAGAAGCGCTTTTCTGCTGTTATCTGGGAACCGACTCGGTCTATTCAGAGCTCTACGAGGGCCCCGGCGGCAACCTGGTTGACGGTTTACCGCTGGGTCCCAGTTTCTGCGAGTGCCTCTTCGCTCTCCGGGTTTTGGACGCTACCAAGTGCAGCGTCTGCCAGTAACTCGTAGAGCTTCCCTTAGCTAGTTGCTGGAAGCTGAAGAGTAATTCCGGGGCGCTGGAGAGCTAGTCGGCAAGAAAATTAACTCGTAGAGCTTCCCCTAGCTAGTTGCTGGAAGCTTAAGAGTAATTCCGGGGCGGTGGAGAGCTAGTTGGCAAGAAAAATCTCGACGGACCTTTTGCCGACTTTCGCTCGGTTGAAAATTTCGGCCTCGAAATTCAACCATTCGTTAGAGCTCTAGTATTATTCCCCACCATATTCGAACTTTTTCCCGCTCGCCGTCTTGATCTCAGCCCGAACAGATAGCCATTACTGCCAAAATGCGTTGCGGCGGGATCGGCCGTTTCGAGTCATCTTGACAGGCGTTGTCGGTTTTTTTGTACTTAACTCGAGCTGTAGGACAGCTACAGAGCTGATGCTTACAATAACCGATTCAGAATCATCAGGCGCGTTCGTCTGTTGCATCCAGAGGTTTGAACTCGGTCTGCTGCCCCAGCTAGGTCCGCGAAAGTATTCGTATTGTTCGAGTCATCTTGAGAAGTGCTGTCGGTTTTCTGAACTTAACTCGGGCTGTAGGGGGGCTACAGGGCTGTCAATTACTGAAACCGTTTGTTTTCGCACGTAACTCGGGATGTAGGAGAGCTACAAAGCTCATGCGCACAGAAACTGATTCGGAATCAACAGGCCCGTTCGTCTGTTGCGTCCAGAGGCCTGAACTGGGTCTGCTACTCGGGCTAGGTCCGCAAAACTACGCGTATTCTTCGAGTCATCTTGACAGATGTTGTCCATTTTCTGTACTGAATTCGGGCTGTAAGAGAACTACAGAGCTGGTACGCACAGAAAGCGATCCCGAGACATTAGGCGCGTTCGTTTTTTGTCGAGAGGTCTGAACTCGTTCTGCTACCCGAGCTAGGTTCACAAAACTATTCCTATTCGACCTATGTTTTTTTCCAAATGATAATGAATTTCTTCACTGAGTTCGAGCTGCAGGGCAGCTCGAGAGCTCTTCGGCCGAAAAATCAGAAGGACGCTTGGTTTGGGCCTGTTGTGAGCGCAGACGCCAAACACGGATTCGTACTATGCTATTTTCTCCCTAATGGTATTTTCTACACGCTGCAGATGAGCTCTAGAACTGTTCAGCACAGCAATGGGATATCACTAGACGCCTGAGATCAGCCTGCTATCAGCGCTCGGGCTGAAAAACTATTCGTTCTCTGCTAATTCTTTGGACATAAGATATGTTAGGAAGCTCTACGAGTCCCCCGGCGGTAAGAAAGGTTGACGGTTTACATCCGGTGACCAGTTGGTCGACCCGACGAGAAGAGACAAAGTGAAAACTTTTGGTCGTTTTTGCTGGTATTTGAAAGATATTTGACAATTCATTTTAGAAAGTAGATTTTTACGCCGAGCATTGGGATATACAATTTGTTACCAGAGCAGCTCAGCTCTCCAGAGACAGTTTTTCGATTGAAAAATTAGGAGCAACCAACATCAAGTTGATATCGAAAAATGCAAATTCGACGTTTTTCTAGAAATGCCAAGCTCTCTGTTTTGAATCTAAGCACTCTTACGCGTGCAAGGAGCTCTACGAGGTTCCCGGCGGTGACCAGGTTGACGGTTCACCGCCGGCGCCAGTCTCGACGGACCTTTTGGTGACTTTTGGTCGGTTGAAAATTTTGTTCTCGAAATACCTCGTAGAGCTCTTCGGCATCGATGAGCTAGAGGAATTCCGGCGCGGGGTGGAGCTAGTTGGTCGACCCGGCCCGGGCGGACAATGTGACAACTTTTGGCTGGTTTTGCTAAGATTTGAAAGATATTTAACAGTTCATCTTGAGAAACCAGATTTTTACGCTAAACATACGCATATAAGCTCTGTTCTCAGAGCAGCTCAGCTTCTCTGGGGGAGTTCTACTATGGGTTCATCTCCGGGAACCGACCTGGTATTGACATCAAGAAATACAAAAATTGAGATTCTAGGAAAATCTTCTACAAAGTTCTCTGCTTCGGTTCTAAGCATTCTAGTGCGTGCGAGGAGCTCTACGAGGTTCCCGGCGGTGACCAGGTTGCTGCTGTCCCTCCTCGGGGAGCTCAGCGGCGACCTGGCCCGTCGGGGGCCTCCTCGAGCCGCATTGTGCGGACAGGTTTCTCTGTGCACACACGTATCGTACTCCACTGTACATCTTGTGTACGGGCCGTCCCATATCTTCGGGTGCTTCGTCGGCTGCGACGACCTCCTCTCCGTGGGCCTACAGACGATAGGTGCCAGGTTCTCTGTTGGTGCCAAGTGGGGCAGCTCCTATCGGGGCAGGTGCATAGGCCGCTTTCTCTGATTGTACTCGTTGCACTTGTTATCTTGTACTTCCAGGCCGCTTGCTTTGTACTTGCTGCATTGTCTGCTTGTACTTCCAGGCCGCTTGCGTCTGTAGTTGCGGCATTTGTTTTCTTGTACGTGTTGCTCTCAGCACGTATCCAGTTTTGACTCTAGTTGCAGTTCGAGTTTCTTCAGTACTTTGACATTTTTGTGACATCGGAGTATCTTGATATTGAGGTCTTTGGGCATCCGATTTCATATTTCGCCTCGAGTGAAGTTCAGAATTCATTGTACTTGATATTGAGGTTTTTGATATTGAGGTCATACGTCGCCTCGAGTGAAGTTCAGAACTCATTGCACTTGATTTCCACATACTTCGAGTTAGAACTATTGTGATTTGTCATTGCGTTGCCTTTATTCATGTCTGTGCGTGTTGTCGTGCATGCACGTGTGTTGAATAAGAGTTTCGCCTGATCTTCACTTTGTTCGGATAAGAGCCCGCATTCGCTCTAAGTAGTGGTGGGTGTCTTGGCTCACTCTGTATGTTGCGCGTTTAATTCGTTATCTAGTCCACATTTCGACGTTGTGTTTCACGTGCATGGTCTTCCAGTGGTGCGGAGACGGTAATCGCTATATGTGGTTACTGCATGGTCTCGCATTGCTTTGAAGCGCACTCGCTATTTTAGTTCTCTTAGTTTCGTGTTTGTCTCAGTGGTGATGAGACGGTAATCGCTGTATGAACCAGTGGTTACCGTATGGTCTCTCACTGCTTCTAGCTTTGCTTCCATATCTATGGCCTGCATTGCTTCACTCATTATATTGTTAGTTGTTTTCTCGTGTACTTGCAGTCTTGTGCATTTCTGTACAGCTTCGCTGTTTGATGCATCTCTGCTTTAATCTTTGCATCTTCGCTGTTTAGGTTCTCTGTGTCCTGGCCTGCTCTCCAGGGAGCTCGAATCGGCCAGCGCAGACTCGCAGACTCGCAGGCCAGGTTGACGGTTTACCGCTGGCGCCAGTTCAACCATTCGTTTGAGCTCTAATATTTTTTGCCCGTGATATTTGATCTTATTCCCGCTCGCCGTCTCGATCTCAGCTCGATTGGGTACCTTTTACTGCCAAAAAGCACACAGGCGGGATCGGCTGTTTCGAATCGTCTTGATACGCGTTGTCGGTTTTTTGTACTTAATCCGAGCTCTAGGACAGCTACAGAGCTGATACTTACAGAAACCGATTCAGAATCATCAGGCGCGTTCGTCTGTTGCATCCAGAGGTCTGAACTCGGTCTGCTGCTCGAGCTAGGTCCGCGAAACTGTTCGTATTGTTCGAGTCATCTGGGGAGGTGCTGTCGGTTTTCTGTACTTAACTCGGGCTGTAGGGGGGCTACGGGTCTGGTAATTACAGAAACCGGTTCGGAGACATCAGGCGCGTCCGCCTGTCGCATGCAGAGGTCTGAAATCGGTCTGCTACTCGAGCTAGGTCCGCAAAACTATTCGTATCGCTCGAGTCATCTCGGCAGGAACTGTCGGTTTTCTGTACTGAACTCGAGCTCTACGGCAGCTACAGAGCTGATTCGCACAGAAACCGATGCAGAATAATCAGGCGCGTTCGTCTGTTGCATCCAGGTCTGAACTCGGTCTGTTACTCGAGCTAGGTCCGCGAAACTATTCGTATCGTTCGAGTCATCTTGAGAGGTGCTGTCCGTTTTCGCACGTAACTCGGGCTCTAGGACAGCTACAGAGCTGATACTTACAGAAACCGATTCAGAATCATCAGGCGCGTTCGTCTGTTGCATCCAGAGGTCTGAACTCGGTCTGCTGCTCGAGCTAGGTCCGCGAAACTATTCGTATTGTTCGAGTCATCTGGGGAGGTGCTGTCGGTTTTCTGTACTTAACTCGGGCTGTAGGGGGGCTACGGGTCTGGTAATTACAGAAACCGGTTCGGAGACATCAGGCGCGTCCGCCTGTCGCATGCAGAGGTCTGAAATCGGTCTGCTACTCGAGCTAGGTCCGCAAAACTATTCGTATCGCTCGAGTCATCTCGGCAGGAACTGTCGGTTTTCTGTACTGAACTCGAGCTCTACGGCAGCTACAGAGCTGATTCGCACAGAAACCGATGCAGAATAATCAGGCGCGTTCGTCTGTTGCATCCAGGTCTGAACTCGGTCTGTTACTCGAGCTAGGTCCGCGAAACTATTCGTATCGTTCGAGTCATCTTGAGAGGTGCTGTCCGTTTTCGCACGTAACTCGGGCTGTAGGAGAGCTACAGAGCTCATGCGCACAGAAACTGATTCGGAATCATCAGCCCGTCCGTCTGTTGCATCCAGAGGTCTGAACTGGGTCTGCTACTCGGGCTAGGTCCGCAAAACTATTCGTATTCTTCGAGTCATCTTGACAGATGTTGTCCATTTTCTGTATTGAATTCGGGCTGTAGGTGAGCTACAGAGCTGGTACGCACAGAAACCGATCCAGAAGCATTGGGAGCGTTCGTCTGTTGCATCGAGAGGTCTGAACTCGGTCTGCTACCCGAGCTAGGTTCGCAAAACTATTCCTATTCGACCGATATTTTTTCCAAATCTTGGTGAATTTCCTCACTGAACTCGAGCTGCAGAGGAGCTCGAGAGCTCTTCGGCGAAAAAAACAGAAGGACATCGTGAGGCGCGAAGCATCTAGACGCTTGGTTTGGGTCTGTTGTGGGCGCAGACGCCAAACACGGATTCGTACTATGCTATTTTCTCCCTAATGGTATTTTCTACACGCTGCAGATGAGCTATAGAATTGTTCAGCACAGCAATGGGATATCACTAGACGCCTGAGATCAGTCTGCTATCAGCGCTGCGGCAGAAAAACTATTCGTTCTCTGCTAATTCTTTGGACATAATATATGGTCAGGAAGCTCTACGAGTCCCCCGGCGGTAGGAAGGTTGACGGTTTACAGCCGGCGCCCAGTTCAATTCTCAGGTCCGTAGCTGCAGTACCTCGTAGAGCTCTTCGGCAACGATGAGATAGAGGAATTCCGGCGCGGGGTGCAGCTAGTACCTCGTAGAGCTCTTCGGCAACGATGAGCTAGAGGAATTCCGGCGCGGGGTGCAGCTAGTTGACCCAGCCGGCCCGGGCGGACAATGTGTGACACTTGGGTCGGTTTTCGGAGATTGTGAGAGATTTTGAAATTCGTTTTGGAAATCCAGATTTTTATTCTCTGCAGTGAATCATGGCGCGTTCGATGGTGAAATTCCCAGGGCTCTAGCTCCATTAATCGGATCAAAAGATTAGGAGGAACCGACGTTCTGTGAAACCCGAAAAAAACATTTTTTTTTCAGTTTTTAAGCTTATATCAACAAACTGACTTCTCCTGTTATCTGGGAACTGATCTGGTCTCTCCAGAGCTCTACGAGGGTCCCGGTGGTAACCTGGTTGACGGTTTACCGCCGGCTCCCAGTTGACCCAGCCGGCCCGGGCGGACAATGTGTGACGCTTGGGTCGGTTTTTCGAAGATTGTGAGAGATTTTGAAATTCGTTTTGGAAATCCAGATTTTTATTCTCTGCAGTGAATCATGGCGCGCTCGATGGTGAAATTGCCAGGGCTCTAGCTCCATTATTCGGATCAAAAGACTAGGAGGAACCGACGTTTTGTAAAACCCGAAAAAACATTTCTTCAGTTTTTTTCCTCTGGTATAAACAAACTGACTTCTCCTGTTATCTGGACCTGATCTGGTCTCTCCAGAGCCCTACGAGGGTCCCGGCGGCAAACTCAGTTCACTTCAATGGATGCTGGCGTGCAAACTCAGTGGGTCTACGCCTTCATGAGCTCTACGCAAAGTCAGACGCCTGCGTGCAAGGAAGCTCTACGCCTTCGTGAGTCAGGTGGGAAAGATGTGCAGGCGGTGGTCTCATTTTCTTCTGACACGTATGCAGCTCTTTCATACTCTTCTTCTTCTGATGTGAAGGCAGTGGTCTCATCTTCTTCCGATGTGAAGGCCAAGGGGACTTCCACGTGCTCTCAGGCCACCATTGCCGATGTTAAGGCATGGATTGACGCTGCTGGCAGTATCAACGAGTCGAATGCGATCCAGTATTTAAAGGATGGAGTGGATTTGTTTGCAGAACTTCTGACAGAAGGTGGGATCCCTGCAAATGCCAGGGCAAATCATGCTGTGCGGAAGCGCGGGGCGTTCGAGAATGTGCAAGCGACGTTGGAGGACCTTCTGGAATTCTTCGAGAGGCACATATATCTTACAGGGCAGATGAAGCGTGCCGAGGCTGCCAAGTTTCTACAGGATTCCAAGTGCGACGAATTCCGAATCCAATTCTATGGACGTCCGAGGAACGATACAACGTCGTCATGTGGAAGTACTGCCTGCAAAGGCAAAGGCAAAGGCAAAGGTAAAGGCGCCGACATAGGAGGTCAGGAGTTTGACGAAGTGTGTAGGTTCGGTAGGACGTTGACGGACTTTGAACGAAGGTGTAAATCTCAGGTTTGGCCTCTGCGGTAGATATTCGTATTCTTCGAGTGATTCCTTTCAATCCGAACTTGTTCTATTGGATTGTTGATTGTGATTGCGTCGCGTGGTCTTTTTGATTGTTGGTTGTGATTGCCTCGTGTGGTCATTCAGTGCATCCTTATTCAGTGCATAGTCTTCCAGTTTGCTGTTGCCTTTGTTTATTGCTTGTGAATTCGTAGTGTTGCCTTTCGGTCCATAGTCATGGTGCATATGCATTTGTTTGAGCTCTAATAATTCAGTGTGTGCATGTTCAATTCTTGGCCAGGTCTCCTGGCTCTCATGTCGTAGTATTAGTTTCGCCTCATCAGTGTTCTCACTGTTGTAGGGTTGTCTGTAGTATTAGTTTCGCCTCATCAGTGTTCTCACTGTTGCAGTGCCCACAGGTCGTTTGATTCGCCTGAGACTTGTTGGACCTGGCCTCAGTGGCCAAGATGGTCCCAGCCGAGACGCAAAAAAAACAAAAACCCTGGTGGTGCACCTGTATCGACGAGGAGGCGACGACGAACGCAAACTCGGGTAGGGAGTACTTCGGATATGGGCGTCCGAGAATCTATTTCAAGAAAGGTACTCCAGGACAGAAGTTGTGGGCACTTAGACGGTCACTGTTATCTAATCTAGCCCTTGCGAGTGATGATATCAATAGACTCCCGTGGCCCGGGGCGGCCAATATTCGGGTGTCTGTGGAGGTCGCCCCATGGAAGACTGTGCATGTCCAAGCTTCAGGCAAGTGTCATGCTGTATGGGCTCAGGTGTGCAGGAACGGAACCATCATGCGCTCAGAGCTGGGCAGTGGTCTGGGAAAAACATATGTGTGGGCGCGTGCATCCAGTGAGGCGCAGAATGCAGGTCAGATTGCCATGATATTTCAGCCTGGGCCACATGCGCAGGAGGGATGGGCGATTCGGGACGAGATTAAATCATATGAACCGAATTTGGACATTGCAGGCCTCAAGGCGCGACTATCAGCGCCGTGACGACGAGAGGTCCGTCTAGGCTCGTGGAACCTACGACGGAGAGGACAACTTACTATCCACACAATACTTAGTGCGATGAAAGGGGCGGATGTGACACTCCTGGGGGTACAAGAGTGTCAAAGTCTTTGGGATCATCGTTCTGAGCTGTCAGGTTCGGGTGAAGGTGCTATTCACACGATTTCCGATAGCTCCCGCAAGGTTGCCATCCTGTATAAGGATAATTGGCGGAAGCGCAGCCTTGCTACGTTCAAGGGGAAAGGTTACGTTGCCATTGGATTTACGACGGTCACGGTTGTTTCATGCTATTTGCCCAATGCTGAGGGTGTGACGTTGAGAACATTTAATATGAATGAGGCCCTGGAGAAGTATTTCCACAGGTACCCTAGGAGGCCCCAGAAGGTGGTGTTGCTCACGGATGCCAACGTGGAACTGTCGCCAGATACGGGCTGTAACGGTCTACAACTTACGGGGGAGGGATTGCTGGAATCAACTCTGGTCTACTCGGGTGGGGCATCACGTGTGCGTTGGAGGAGGAGGGAGGCAATGAAGGAGGCGCTTCTTCAGTTCTGTGGGAGGTGGAGGATTGTGATGGCCAGCGCATGTGGACCCAGGAGGCCTACTTGGATCCCGTCGGGTCTTGGGGCTCCCAGTGTCTTGGACTATATTGGGTTACCCGGTGCACAGTCGGAGGTGGGGGTTTAATTCATCCAACCACTGGGGACGACGGCGCTGACTGCGGTATCGGATCATGCTCTGTTACATGCCACGTTACCATGTGCTCCGACGGGTGTGCGCAGGCAGAAGCCGAAGGCGACGAGGGCCTCCAATTTGGTCCACTGGGCTCCCGAGGATCCTCAGGCTTACGCTCGGGAGGCGGAGATTGCTTTCACCGCATGCGGGACAATTCCTGTCAGGTCTGCTGCCACGACGCCCGAGGAGGGCTGGGAGCTGGTCAGCCGTTCCCATCCTCGTGTGGCGCGTCAGCTTAGGACCGTGGTGGGGGAGGAGGGTAACAGCACGGACAGTACGGAGACTATGATGGAGGACTTGGTGGAGTGGGAGGAGGTGGAGGATGTGACGACACAGTGCGTTCAGGCGGTGGGATCACCCACTTGTGAAGGCGAATTCATCAATACGGCGATTGTGTCGGCGGCCAGTCTCACACCTCATGCGCAGGGACGACAGGTCCAACGTCCCAAGAAGCCAGAGGAGTTGTGGAGGATGGAGGAGGACATGACACAGCTCAGGAGGGAGAGGAGTTGGGGGGACTGCAAACAGTTACGACGGCGGTACCGACCTGCGAAGAGAAGGTACCAGGCTGAACTGGTCAGATTTCAAGTTACCAGGGAAGGACGGAGTAAACGTACACACAATCAGGTACTGGAGGTGGTTCAGGAGGACGGTAGTATTCATAGATCTGAGGACTTGGAGGAGTGGGAGGCGGAGATCGGACGGTTTGCTTGTGCCACTATTCAATGCGAGGAGGCTCGCAGGGCTAGTGCGCAGACGTTGGAGATGGCGAGGTGTGCAGCAGCGGCCTCGCATCGGACACTAGACATTCGCATGTCCCTTGTGTTGCGAGCTCGTGCGCGACTCAATAGGGGAGGAGCAGCGTCATGCGATGACGTGTCGCCCGAAATGCTCAAGTTACTTCCTTGGGCGTGTGTGCGCCGTGTACGTGACTTCTTTCAGCGCCTGGCCTGTCGGGAGAATCTCACGCCGCATTGCAGGAGAAAATTCCTTGTTACTCTGATCCCGAAGAGCCCCCAAATGACCCAAGTCAAAGACACTAGAAAAATGTGCCTCATACCTCTTATGTCCAAATGGTACAGCCTGTGTCTCACTCTAGTTGTGGAGGAAGAGTTGACAAATCTCCGACCTCATACGTGCTTGTTCGGCTTTGCGGCAGGTAGGAAACCACATGCAATTACGGCGGTACTTAAGAGGCTCTCACAGCACGCGTGTCTCTGGGGCAAAGGAGAATCATTATATCTTGGGAGTGCAGACGTACTACAGTGCTTCGACCATGTGACGTTGACGTTGGCGTATAACAGTCTGGTATCATTGGGTCTCCCCTCGGAGCTCATATTTGCCCTCTTGGATCCCATGCGTGAGAGCGTGTGTCAGATGTCCTTTGAAGGTGCGCGGTGGACGGATTGGGTGTCTTGGGATAGGATTATCCGCACGGGAGGAGTGGAGAGCCCCTTCTTGTTCAAGGCTGTCTCGGTGTATCTTTGGGAAAAGGTGGTACGGCAGTGGGAGGATAACGACTATGGTTATGAATTGGAGACCCCCTTGAGTGGAGGCAGGAGGAGGATTGCACATGCTCTGTGGGCGGACAACTTGTATGTGTGTGCGCGGACCCTGGACGAACTTCGGGAGATGATGTCTATGCTCACGGTGCCGTTGGCTCAGGCGGGCCTGCGGTGGAAACCCTCATCGCTGGGATACCTCCTGTGTGGAGGCTGGCCTCGCTGTTCTGATGCCGAGCTTCGTGTGTGGGTCCCTGAGTATGGTGAGGAGTTGGTCCTGCCACGTCTTCGACCAGATGTCGGCTCTGGGAGTGGAACTCTTTGATGACTGGAGTGAGCATCGGGATCTACTTTGTCATTTACAGCGTGCCAGGCGTGCGTGGATGTGTGATGTGCAGTTCTATCGGTGTGGACAGTTACCTTTGCGTGATCGTTTTATGCGTTACATTGCACGAGTGCAGTCCATTGTTTTGTATGCATGCGAAGGTATGACGGCGGATGAGGGGACTATTCAGAAGTTATATGCGTGAGAGGGTCAACTGCTGGCGATCATTGGTGGTCTGCGTAAGAAGGCGAGTGAGGATTGGACCGTGTATGCTCAGAGGCGGCTGCGCTATGGTCGCCAACACTTTGCTAGGTACGGCTTCCAATCATTGGTCCAAAGATTTCTCAGAACGCAGTTTGGCTGGGCAAAGGATGTGGCATCGTTCGCTTGTATGCATACGCGTGCACCTATGTTAGCGCGTGCGTCGGGGGAGGAGGCGCATACCAATCGGCGTCAGCGTGCGAGAATCTTCCGTGAGACGGTGCGGGGCCAACGACAGAGGCTCTCGACCACCCAGCCTGGTGAGGCTCCGACACCAGCACCTCCTGTGTCGGATGACGTGTCAAGGCCCTTTGTTTTTTTCACGTGTTGCGATGCCGCATGGTTTGGGGGGGTGGACGGAGAGGAGGGAGGCTATGATTACTGCTAGTGGGAGGAGGACGGAGATAACCAGACTAACAGGGAGGAGGTTACCTACAGGCTACAGGCCGTGGGACTTCTTATCTGTGCAGGCTGCTGGTGTGAACTGGTGGCATCATCTCGACTGGAGTGAACATGGTTTTCGCGAGCTTGCTACGGCCCGACTGTGTGCGGCGGGATTTTCACATATGACGGAGGGCTTTATCTTTAAGGAGGAGGGAGGTCAGATACACAGAGAGGAGGAGGAGGAGGAGGACAATCAGTATACACAGACGGCGCTTGATCGTATTGCCAGGCGCCTCGCAGCAAACTTTGAAAATGAGGTCCGCTTCGAGCGACGAGGCGGAGTTGCGATGGAGCTGTTGGGCGACTCCATGCTGATAACCAACTGGATGAGGGGAAGGTGGAATTGCAACAACAATATATACCGATCGCAGGTGGGGGAGGTTATTGATCTGTTAGACGATGCCCGTCGAAATTTTAAGCTGCAGGGCCCAGCCACAGGATATGACTTGTGGCGTCATTTCTATCGTGCAGGCAACGACCGCGCCGACCGACTGACTTGGGAAATCAGACATCTACCATTACAATCGAGGTGCAGAAGCATTCAACAACAGATAAACAATACTGAAACATTGATCGCAATCCGTGGTGCGTACGACGGTGGCGTTAGCAGTGCAGGTGCTGGGGGGGGGATGGTGGCTAGACGGTGAGTTCATCAGTGAGCAATCTGGGGAAGGGGTTAGTGATTGCCTGCACACGTTTACCCGTCCGTTGGCGGAGGAGGCTTCTGGCCTGATTCCCGATGCGACGGTTACTCAGTGTGAGCTTGAGGCCGCTTCGAGACTTGCCCGCTCTGCTTGCAAGATACTTCAAGAGTATCACGTTTTTCAAGGTACATCTAGCCCGCAGGGGATGGCTGCACCAACCCGACCGCCCTTGTAGGGCCCTGTGGTCGGACCGCAAACCGCAAAAACCTGGTTGACGGTTCACCGCCGGCTCCCAGTATTACTATCAAAACACTTGCTGGAACCGTCGGCCGCTTCGAGTCATCTTGACAGGCGTTCTCGGTTTTTTGTACTTAACTCGAGCTGTAGGACAGCTACAGAGCTGATACTTAGCTGAGAGCTGATACTTACAGGCGCGTTCGTCTGTTGCATCCAGAGGTCTGAAGTCGGTCTGCTACTCGAGCTGGGTCCGCAAAACTATTCATATTCTTCGAGTCATTTTGACCAGTGCTCTCGGTTTTCTGTACTTAACTCCAGATTTAGAGAAGCTACATAGCTGGTACGCACGTAAACTATTCAGTATCACCAGGCGCGTTTGCTTGTTGCATCGAGAGGTCTGAACTCGGTCTGCTACTCGAGCTAGGTCCACGACACTATTCGTATTTCTGAAATTCTCTTTACAGGCGCTGTTGCTATTCTTTATTTAACTCGAGCTGTAGCAGAGGTACAGAGCGGGCAGAAACCGATCCAGAATCATCAGGGGCGTTCGGCTGAAGCATTGAGAGCTCTAAAAAGAGTCTGCTACTCGAGCTGGGTATGTAAAAATATTCGTATGCGACCGATTTTTTTCCAACTGATGGTAACATTTTCCACTTAACTCGAGCTGCAGATGAGCTTGAGAGCTCTCCCGCACAGAAATCAGAAGGAAATCGTGAGTCGGACAGTCTGAAGTATCCAGGCGCTTGGCTTGGGTCTGTTATGAGCGCAGACGCCGCACAACTAGTCATTTTCTGGTATTTTTCTGGTGATGGAATTCGTTTCCTGGTTTGAATTCGAGGTGCAGATCAGCTTGAGAGCTCTTAGGCATTGCAATGGGAAGCTAATCATTATGCGCGCTGTTTCAAAGTGTCTAGACATCCACACTCACACTGCTATTAGCGCTAGGGCTGATTTCTGATTCGTACTGTGCTACTTTCTTGGAAATGCTACTGTTCTCCTTGGTTTTACTCGTGCTGCAGATGAGCTACGCATCAGGGGCAATCATGAAATTTATCCAGACGCCTGATATCATCTGCTATTAGCGCTCGGGCTCAAAAACTTTTCGTGTTCTGCTATTCTTTGGACATAGTATGAGGAATTCGTGCACAGGGTGAAGCTAGTTGGCAGATCCGACCTTAACAGACAATATGGTGACATGGGGTCGGTTTGGCTGAGATGTGAAAGATATTTGACAATTCAATTTGAGAAGCAATATCTTTCTCACGTGTGTCTGCCAGTCCAATTCTCAGGTCCGTAGATGCAATGTTACTATCAAGGGAACCGACGTTGGATGAAAACGCAAAAAACGTTTTTTTTTGAGCTTTTTTCTTCACGCCTGAGAGAGCTTTTTCCGTGTGTTCCAATCAGCGCCGCGCGAGAAACGAGCTCTACGAGGCTCCCGGCGGTTACCTGGTTGACGGTTTACCGCCGGATCCCAGTCGGCCAACCCGACCAGAAGGGACAATGTGACAACTTTTGGTTGGTTTTGCTAAGATTTGAAAGATATTTGACAATTCATTTTGAGAAACTAGATTTTTCGCACCTGTAAACGACTATGAGGTCCTCTGTGTCTTAATATGAGCTCTCTACGCGCACTTTTACTATCAAAACATTTGGCGGAACCAACTTCATTTCGACATGAAAACATTTTTTTTTTTTTTTTTTTTTTTTTTTTATTTTTTTTTTTTTTTTATTTTTTTTCGAGAAATGCTTCCAGAAGCTCTCTCTTACGATTCTAAGCACTCTTACGCGTGCAAGGAGCTCTACGAGGTTCCCGGCGGTGACCAGGTTGACGGTTCATCGCCGGCGCCAGTTCTAGCTTGCAACGCTTCCATTGGGACGATGTGGCCGTGAAGCGATGAGCTTGCCTCCAGGTAGCGCGTAACCTGCTGCGAACTGGCCGCCTTCTCTGCCTTGGCGAGGGGTGGGCGCTCAGTTGCACTGTTCCGCCGATTCGGAATCGGGGTTCTCGTGGCGGACCGTAAACCGTGAAAATTACCAAGGTGGACGGTTTACCGCCGGCCCCCAGTAATTGGTTGACGCGTGTTACCCGTGTGTTGCTTCGTACTCTATGGCCTTTTGTTGGGGATTTTTTCCTGGCGCGGGTTTCTCGCCCGCATGTCTTTTGCATTCTATGGCCCCTTCACGGTTCAGGTTGCGCCCCCACGCTGGCGTCCATGTCGATTCGCACTCCGCTGCGCGCCCCGAGATCGTGACTCGTAGAGCTTCCTTCTGGGCGAAGCGGCGAAGCTAGGGAGTAATTATGGCGCGCTGGCGGGCTAGTTGGTCCGAAAAATCTCGGCGGAAGGTTTGCATCATTTTGGTCGTTAAAGATGTGTTTCTTGAAATTTGACCATTCGTTAGAGCTCGTTTTTTTCCCCATCTTCGGTCTTAGTCCGGCTCGCAATCTCAATCTCAGGTCGATCGGGTGGATATTATTGTCAAAAGGCACTCCGGCGGGATCGGCTGCTGAGTGTCATCTTGGCAGGTGCTCTTGGTTTTCTTCACTTCACTCGAGCTGCAGATCAGCTACAGTGTTGTTCGGCACAGCAATCGAAAGGGAATTATCAGGAGCGCTAGTCTCAAAAGTATCTAGATGCCCAAACTCGGTCTGCTACCAGAGCTGAAACCAACAAACTATTCGTACTCTGCTAATTTTAAAGAGATGATGCTATTTTCTCTACGTTATTTGAGCTGCACGCTTGTTGCGGAGCTGAAGAGTTTTTTTTGGAGGGGTCCCCAAACAGGCTCCCCAAACAGCCGAAACAGAAGGTCACCAGGTGCATTTGCTCACGGTATCGAGACGTCGGGATTCTGCCTGCAACCATAGCTGCGACTGGAAAACTATTCGCGCTGTAAATATTTGACAGATGCTGTGCGTTTCCTGAGTTGAACTCGAGATCTAGGCCAGCTACAGAGCTGAGATGCACACCAATCGACAGGGAATGCCGCGAAGCATCAGTCTACAGTCTAGACGCTTCAGATCGGTCTGCTACCAGAGCTGCAACCATTTTTTTTTTTATTTTAAAAAAAAAAAAGAAAAAAAGATACTGCGAGAGACGGTGCTGTTTTTTGTATTTAATTAGAGTTATAGGCAAGCTAGGGAGCTGGGAAGCACACCGCTCAACAGGAAATCATGAGACACAGTCGCCTGTAGTATCGAGACGAGCAGTACAACTGAGCACCCTGTCAGTGAGAGATTATACTCGTTTTCTGTATTCAATCCGAGCTGTAGGCTAGATACGGAGCTCATATACACAGCGATCGGCAGGAAACTGCTGGGAAGCGCGAGTGGAAAGCATCCAGACCTGAGATCGGTCTGCTTCCAGAATTGCGACTCACATACTTTTTTCTCTTCAAATTCCAGATAGGCGGTGTCGGGTTTCTCTCTTAATTCGAGCTGTACGCAAGCTACAGAGCTGGAATCAGATTGTTCGAATGGGAATGACTTCGAGTATTGGTCTTCAGCATCGAGACGAAATCGATCTGTGGGCGAGCAAGGAGCTGTGAAGCAACTTCTGCTCATCCTCCTCCTCCTTCTCCTGCGCCTCCTCCTCCTCTCCTTCTTTTTCCACTCCTCCTCCTGCTCCTCCTCCTCCCCCTTCTCGTTCTTCTTCTCCTCCTCCCCCTCCTTCGCCTCCTCCTTCTCCTCCTCCTCCTCCCTTCCCCTCTTCCTCCGCCTCCTCCTTCTTCTCCTCCTTCTTCCTCCTGTCCCCTCCTCCTCCTCCTCTTCCTCCTCCTCCTCTTCCTCTTCCTCCTTTTCTTCCTCCTCCATCTGGTCCTTCTCCTCTGTCTCCTCCTCCACCTTCTCTTCCCCCTCTCCTCCTCCTCTTCCTCCTCATCGTCGTCCCGTTCCCCCCTTCCACCCTTCCACCTCCTTTTGCTTGTCGTCGTCCTCGTCCTCCTTCTCCCCCTCCTTCCCTTCCCTCCTGCTCCTTCTCATCCTGCTCCTTCTCTTCCTCGACCTCCTCCACCTCCTTCTCCTCCTCGCTCCTTCTTTTCCTCGGCGTCCTCCTCCGTGAAACCGCGCCCTCGCGTGCGCGGAATGCGAGATTTCCTCGCCCGCGCGCCGTCATTTTAAATCGCGGGGGAGCTGTGCGAGTTTCCGGCGGTAACCAAGGTTGACGGTATGCCGCCAGAAGGAGGACTGAGGAGGGGGAGGAGTGGGGGAGGCCGAGGAAGAGTAGGGGGAGAAGAAGTAGCAGGAGGGGAAGGAAGGGGGGGGGGGGGTGAGGATGATGAGCATGAGGAGGGGGAAGAGTGGGGCGGAGAAGGATGATGATGATGATGGTGGCGGTTCGGGGAGGAGGGGGGGGGGGGGGGGAGGAAGAGGAGGGGGGGGGGGGGGGGAGAGAGAGAGAGAGAGAGAGAGAGAGAGAGAGAGAAGAGAGAGAGGGAGAGAGAGAGGAGAGAGAGAGAGAGAGAGAGAGGAGAGAAGAGAGAGAGAGAGAGAGAGAGAGAGGAGAGAGAGAGAGGGAGAGAAAAAGAGAGAGAGAGAGAGAGAGAACAAAGAGATAGGAGGGGGGGGGGGGGGGGGGGGGGGAAGAGGAGGAGGAGGAGGAGGAGAGAGAGGAGGAGGAGCAGGAGGATGGGGGGGGGGGGGGGGGGGGGGGGGGGAGGGGGGGAGAGGAGGGGAGAGGGGAGGGGGAAGAGCAGCAGGAGGAGAAGGCGGAGGAGGGGAATTTGGGGAAATGCATGATTAGCCGGAGGAGGAGGGGGAGAAAGAGGGGGGAGAAGGAGGAGAAGGGGAAGGAGAAGGGGGGGAAGGAGGAGGCGGAGAAGGCGGAGGAGGGGAAGTTGCTTCAAGTCGGTCGCGCACGTTGAATATTATTTCAATTTTCTAGCAATGCAAAACCAGAGAGGGAGCTCTTCCCGAATATTTAAATGCGCGTAAACATGCTGAGTCGCCTGGTGAGGCGGTCAGGTCCGTGGCTTGCCCGCAGCTGGAGTCAAGTGCCACCCGCGCGAGAAAGTCGGCGACTCATGTTAAACAGTTTTATAGTGCGTTCTACCAATGCAAGCCATGCTAACGACTCTCGCGCAATATATAAGTGTGCGTGGATATGCGGAATCGCTTGGAGAAGCGATCAGGTCCGTAGCTTGCCTATGGCCTGAGTTAGGTTAAGAAAACCGCCCGCGCAAACTCGTGGAGCTTCCCGGAGAGCGAAGCGGCGAAGCTTAAGAGTAATGCGAAAACGCTGGCGGGCTAGTTGACTCCGAAAATCTCGACGGACCTTCTGCCGACATTTGCTCGGTTGAGCATTAGTTTTTCAGAATTCAACCATTCGTTAGAGCTGTATGCTTTCTCATTGTCAATGATCTTAGTACGACTCGCCATGTTGATATCAGGTCGATCGGGTGAATATGATCGTCGAAAAGCACGCGGGCGGGATCGGATGCCGAGTGTCATCTTGGCAGGTGATGTTGGTTTTCTCAATTTCACTCAAGCTGTAGGGGGGCTGCGGACTTGATCGCTTCTCCGGGCGACTCAGCATGTTCATGCGCATCTTCTCATTGCCCTATCGCCCTCTTAACAGTTTGCATGTTGAGAAAATCTTGGACAACTGTTCAACTTGAGTCGCTGACTTGGCAGGTGCTGACGCTTCTTCATCTAACTCGAGCTGTGGGCAAGCTACGGACTTGATCGCTTCCACAGACGATGCAGCATGTTCATGCGCATCTACCCATTGCGCGAGAGCTCTTCTGATGGTTTGCATTGCTAGAAATCCTTGCAACACTGCTCAATATGAGTCGTGAGCTTTCTTGCGTTGGCGTTTTCTTAACCTAACTCGGGCCATGGGCAAGCTGCGGACCGGATTGCTTGTCCAGGCGAGTCAGCATATCCATGCGCATTTATGAATTGCGCGAGAGTCGTTATTATGGTTTGCATTGGTAGAACATTGTAAAACTGTTCAACATGAGTCGCCGACTTTCTTGCGTGTGTGGCATTCTCGATTTGACTCCAGCAGTGGGCAAGCTACGGCCCTGATCGCCTCACCAGGCGGTTAAGCATGTTTAGGCGTATCTAGATATTGCGCAAGAGCTCCTATTATCATCCTGCGTTGCTAGAACATATTGAAATAGTATTCGACGTGCGTGGCCGACTTTGCTCCGTGGGTGGTTTTCTGCACTTACTCGAGCTGTGGGCAAGCTGCGGACCTGATAGCTTCTGATGGCGATTCATCCTCTCTATGCGCATCCAGATGTTGCGTTAGATTTCCTCTCATGGTCTGCATTGCTAGAGAAATATTGAAAACTATTCAGCGTGAGTCGCCGGCTTTTCCTACGCGGGTGTTTTTTTCGGGAGTTCATTTGAGCTGTGGGCAAGCTGCGGATCCGATCGCTTCTCCGGGCGATTTATTAGGTTTGAGCGCCTCTAGGCATTGGGCGAAAGCCTTTCCCATCGTATGTATTGCTGGGAAATATGGAGAACTATTCAACATCGAGACGAACTCGAGCTGTGGGCAAGCAAGGAGCTACGAAGCAAATCCTCCTCCTCCCCTCCTCCTCCTCCCTCTCTTTTTCCTTCTTCTTCTCCTTCTCTTCCTCCTTCCCCTTCTTCCTCCTCCTCCCGCTTCCCCTTCTCCTTCGCCTCCTCCTCCTTCTCCTCTTCCTCCTCCCCTCCCCCCCCCCCTCCTCCTCCTCCACTTCCTCGTCCTCCTCCACTTCCTCCTCCTCCTGTCTCTCTTCCTTCTCCTCCTCCTCCTCGTCGCCATCATCGCCCCACTTCTCCCCCTTCCACCCTTCCCTTCCTCCTGCTTGTCATCCTCCTCCTTCCTCCTTCTCCCCCTCCTCCTCCTCCTCCTCTTCCTCGGCCCCCTCCACCTCAGTGCCCTCCTCGCCCCTCCACCTTCTCCCCCGTGAGACCGCGCCATGGCGCGTGCGCGGAATGCGAGATTGTCGCGACGGCGTCTCATGTTCGTCGCAAGGAAGCTCTACGAGTTCCTGGCGGAAGCCGAGGTTTACGGTTTACCGGCGGCTTCCAGTTGTCGTCCTTGTCGTTGCCTCCCCGATCGAGCATGGGTCGGAACATCTATGCAGATTTACGAAATGGGGGCCCACCTGGGGGCCGCCGCCACCCCGGGGGAAGGTTTTTCGCGCGATATTTCTTGAACTTGCCCCTCGCCAGCCGCCGCGAACTCTCGGGGGGCCCGTTCCTTGTTCAAATCATTCGTTTTGTTGCTGGGCCCGCTCCTATCCGACGCGGCGTCGGGAAGGTAGATTTGGGCAATATCTAGAGACGCTCTTTCTGGGCAGCGGAGCTGGGAAAAGGGTCTCACCGCGTTCCCTCATGGGTTTGAGTTTATATTTCGACCCTTGTTTCAAAGCCCAGATTTACAGGGGAGGAGAGCGCAGACGCATGCCCCCCTCGTGGCGGCGCGACGCGGGCAGGGGGAAGGCAACAGTCGATTTTGCTTGAATCTCCCCTTGATAGGACGCCGCGTAGAAATCGTTGAGAACGGCGCAGCGCGGCGAGTTTCCATGAACAGGCCATCTGGATTAGGGGCCCCTCCCTGCAGTGGCAGGGTTGCGCCCGCGGCGGCTGCGACGGAGTGCTCCGGTCGCCGTCCTGTTGGTGCTTTTTCTCTGCTTCTGGGGCTGCTCCTCCTGCTGCGCAAAGGCCCAGGGCGGGGTGCTTGGAATTGCGTGCCTTCTTCTCCCCTGCGTGCTTGATTTCGCAGGAGGTACATTCCCGTTCTTTGCGTAGAGGCCACGGGATTTCGGTTACCTGGCGACCAGAGTCGGCCCAATTGGACCAGAGCTCTGTGATTTCTGCCAGTCCAAGAGAAAGCGCAAATCAAGTAGTTAATACATGTAGCAGCCACAAGGCCACCAAGGAGGCAGCCGCGAGACATCCAAGACGCGGACAATAAGCAGCCAGGAAGCCGCCAACATGCAACCCAGGAGGCAGCCAGAGAGGCAGCTAGGAAGAAAACCGATAGGCAGCCGCGAACTCTGGTGTACGATTGAAGCGATGCGTTGGTAAATCGGCAGGGGACTGCAGTCTTCTTGGCAGGAACCCGGCAGGGACCTGGCTGACGGAAGCCAAGCACGGCCGCTCCAGCATGCTCTGAAGTACTCTGTCGCGTTCGCAAGATCCACAGCGCGAGCTCCTGGGCAATAGGTCGAGCTTCCAATCTTGGGGTCGCCAATCTGGCGCGGACTTCCTCTGGCTGCCTTCCTGGCGGCCTCTTGGCTGCCTTCCTCCTTGCCTCTCGGCTACCATGTTGTCTCTTTCGTTGCTCCATGCTGCTTTTCTCAGGCTGCCTTAAGCTGCCAGTATGGCTGCGTTCTTGATTGTCGCTTGGCTATTTCCTGGCGGCAAGTCCAGCTGCCCTTGGCTAAAGTTTGGCTGCCTTCTTGACTGCCTCTTGGCTGCCTCCTGGTGTCTCCTGGGCTGCCTTTTGGCTGCCGTCTTGGTTGCCACTTGGCTGGCTTCTTGGCTGTGTCTCGGGCCTACTTGGCTGCTTCCCTGGTGGCGCTCTCGCGTACCTGTTGGCT